GATTAGGGTTGCCTCTGTGGCTTAAGCCCCCCCCGCCCCCCTTCCTCTCCCACCCCGCGCCCCACTCATCCCCGTGTGAACAGCACTCTGGGTTTTAATTATCACTAATAGGTCCCTGGGTGGGGTGCAAGATAATTGAAGGTGATGGGTGGTGGGTGGGGGGAGTAATTGCAGCGGTTTGTGTGAGAGCGTGCGTGGAGCAAGGCGTGTTGTGGTTATAGGCTGCCCATAGCCATTGGCACAAACAGGGCAATTTTAGATTTAACTAAATACCCTCTTCCTTTGAAACCTGTTCTCGGCCAAATCTCGTGTGTGTGTGTTTGTGTGTCACATCGGTGACAAGTGGTAACTGAACCTGTCCTGTCTCTCTCCCCCCCCCACCCCAAGCATTTAGCACGTGTGTTGTGTGCGTGAACGTCAGTTCTACGGGGGGAGACAAAGGCGGCCGAGCGTGGTGGTCGCTGGCCACCTTGCCTGCGCCTCTTACTCGTGGGTCGACTCAGCCTTAAATTGAATTGTGGTGCGTGAGTGTGGGAATGTCGGCGCTGGGGAGACAAAGGCGGCCGAGCGAACGTGGTTGCTGTGTGTGTGTGTGTGTCTGTGTGTGTGTCTGTGTCTGTGTGTCTGTCTGTGTCTGTGTGTGTGTCTGTGTGTGTGTGTGTCTGTGTGTGTCTCTGTGTGTGTGTGTGTCTGTCTGTGTGTGTCTGTCTGTGTGTGTCTGTGTGTGTGTCTGTGTGTGTATCTGTGTGTGGACGCGGTGGTGTTGGCCACCCACCCTCTCGTGTGCCGTGCCGGCTTTCATAGGTGCTCGCTAACAGCACTTGCCCCCTACAGTCTGTTAAGGCTATACGGGGGATCTTTGTCTTTGGCTGCGGCAGTGTAGCGGTTAGCGCGCTGCGCTGCAAACCTGGCGACCAACACCACAGTGACAATTATCTGAACCGGTCCTGGGCCTCCCCTAGGTCGACTCAGCCTCAAATGAGTACCTGGTGCGGTGCGTAAAAACATCGCCACTGGGGAGACAAAGGCGGCCGGGCGTGGTTGCTGGCCACCCACCCCCTCGTGAGCCGTTCTGGCCTTCAGAGGTACTCGCTGACAGCACTTGCCCCAACAGTCTGTTAATACTATACGGGGGATCTTTGCCTTTGTATTCGTGTGTACGCGCGCACGGAGACGCAGAGGGCCGACGCCACGAGGGTGACCTCTGCCCCAAAATTTGTGCCGAAATATTTCGCGTTTCGCGGTCCTTGGGCAGAGAGCATCAGCGGACCCGGCGGACGCTTCGGCCATCGCCAGCGGTGCACAAAGCACGAATGGACCGACTGAACAATATATTTTTTATTTAAAAAATAAAATACAACTTTGAAGAAGGGCAATTACCCGAAACGTCGCCGACGCTACGTTTATTGTATTTTGTTTTAAGGGCCCACAGTGTTGTTGGCGAATGTGGAGAAGTTCGCGGTACGTGATACGCGACGTGCACAAACGTTACATGCTCGGTCAAATATAAATAGCGAAAAATAAGTTATACAGAGGGCGATACAAAACTGTTACGATACATCAAACAAATAATTTAACAATAAATATACCTACAACTCTTTATGTACCTACAACTCACTCTGTACCTACCACTCTGTATGTACCTATCACTGACAATGTACCTACCACTGACTATGTACCTACAGCTATCTATGTGTAGAACGCTCCTTTGCCATGAAGCTGTCCACCACTGCTGCTTATCACCACAACTACAAATCATCGGCCGACTACGGTTAAACCTGGAAGCGCCTTACTGATAGTACCGGTTAAGTGGAAGCAGAGGCCAACGTCCATGGCGATCTACACAAAGGTGTGTGTTGTAAAGTCTCAAAATCACAACATTGTTCCATTGTTCTGCGGATTGTAAGACGCGTTATTTCGCTCCTCCACCTGCCTGTGTGTGTTAGTGTGTGTGGTGTGCGTTAGTGTGTGTGTTAGTGAGTGGACTTGCCGATGACTGGTACCAGCGGTGTCAAGATCGGCCTCTGTGGAGGAGGCTCGTGAAGGATGCTACTGGGCAGTTGGAGGCAGTCGCCCTCCAACAACAACGGAGGGCGAAGGAGCGACGCTCACAACAACGAGCGGAGCGCCGGGTGGCTAAAGCACAGCAGGTTGGCACAGTAGGGGGCACAGGTGGTGCATCAGCCAGTCATCTCAGTCAGTCGACCCGTGGCACCTGGGTCTGCCCCGTGACCTCCTGCCAGCGGGCGTTCGACACTTCACGTGGCCTCAAGGTGCACATGGCCTGGCACAAGCGTCGTGGTGACGTCACCGCCACTTAGTGGGCAGCGATCAGGGCGCTGCGCTACGAACCCGACGTCCCTAGTTCGATTCCCGCTCACGGCCAACACCCAGTGACGATTATCTGAACCGGTCCTGGGCCTCCCCTAGGTCGACTCAGCATCAAATGAGAACCTGGTGCGGTGTGTAAACATCGCCACTGGGGAGACAAAGGCGGTCGGGCGTGGTGCTGGCCACCCATCCCCTCGTGTGCCGTTCCGGCCTTAATAGGTGCTCGCTAACAGCACTTGCCCCTACAGTCTGTTAAGGCTATACAGGGGGGGGGGGGGTCTTTGTCTTTGTGTGTGTTTGCGTGTCTGTGCGTTGTGTTTAAGCTGTAATTGTACCGAGGTGTGCACCTCCGTATGTGTGTACACGTGGCTGCAATGTCGTGTCTGTGTCGCTATATGTGGGCGCATGCGTGCACGTGGCCGCTCGTCGTTGCTCTGTTATGTAATTCACATCGATGTTTGCAAACCATTTTCTGACAGTACAACGTACCCATAAATATCACTCCACAGTCCTACACTGTCGCGAGTCCATCATCCGCCGTGAATCTAATTGTCGTATCACTCCACTATACGAATCCAGATGACATTCCTGCAGACTTGGCATGGCTCTCTGTGTGGCAACGCAGCACGTGTCGAGGAGAAGGGGGCAGGCCCTCTGGCAAGGGTGGGGAACGTCCGGCCCGCGGGCCGTGTAAGGCACCGCGAAATCATTTGGGTCTCTGGCCCTGCCAAGGCAGCCGCAGGCGGGACTCGAAATTCACTAAATCAAGGAGCAACACCTGGAAAAGCAGTTGCGAGTAGCAACATCATCAATACCAGCTAACATCATCACCACACGCCTCACCAAAGAGAAGCAGTTCCAGCCATCGCATTAGGGGCGAGTTAATTAAATGTTTGACCAATTATAACAAGGCTAATGTTTTAAGTTGATCATGTTGTACGGCCCGCGAGTGATGTTATAAATATCCAAATGGCCCTTGGCAGAAGAAAGGTTCCCCACCCCTGCTCTCTGCCGTCAATCGCACGGGCACTCGGCGCCTGACAAGAAAAACAAGACGAAGCTCCCCACCCCCGTGTAGCCTTCTAACAGAATGTTGGGGCCAGGCAAGCGCTGTTCGAGGAAGGGCCACACGAGGTGCGGTGATCGGCACAACGCCCCGCCGCTTTTGCCTGCCCGCCGTTGTGATACTCGCACACCGCACCGGGTACTCATTTGAAGGCTGAGTCGAGCCCTGGAGAGGCCCGGGACCCGGTTCAGACAATCGTCGCTGGCGGTGTTGGTGGCCGTGAGCGGGAATCGAACTCGGGGAGTCGTAGTGGAGCGTAGCGCTCGCCCCCGCTACGCTACCCACGCACGCGCCACTCTCTCGATCAACCCCACAGGGATACGCGCGCCCTCGTGTATGGCTTCTTGACATCATCAACCACAACAACAACACGAATAATAAACAGCGACGACAGTAAAAATAATAATTTACAATCCTTTTGTTCATCCACTGCTGGATGAGGGCCTCCCCCACAGCTAATGGGGGGAGGGAGTATGGGGGGGGGCAGTTGACTGACCATACTTCACCCCCACTGGCTTCTCGCCATCGCTATATACACACACACACACGTACACACACGTGCACACACGCGCACACACGCGCACAATTAATTTCCCCAACGGCCCCGAATCCGCTCGTGGCGATAAGTGCAGCACGGTTCGCTTTGTGGGCCTCATCCCCGAAGTGGCATTGGGTCGTCAGGCCCCTCAGGCCGGGATTGAACTCCTCCACGACTCCCCCTCGGCTGAGCCGTGTGCTGGGCAGCAGCAGGGAGGACGAGGAGAAAGAGGATGAAGAGGATGAAGAGGAGGAGGAGAAGACATCTGGCCAGCGAGTGTTGCCTCCGTGTGTCCAACGCAGGGGCAAGCGGCGGCACCAGCACGGAGCTCCCTTGCCTCGCGATGCCAACAGCTCCGACACAGACACCGAATTGCTTCTTCACCCTTCACCCCCCCCCAGTGCTGATGTTCATCACACGCCGCACGCGTGAAAGTCAACAAATGCCGAGTGGTGTTCGGAGGCGGACGGTGGAGAGGGCCCAGAAACAGGTTCAGATATTTTGTTTACCGGCGTTGGCCGTGACCGGGAATCGAACTCGGTGCTGGCTGAGCTCTCGTGGCGCAAGGCGCTAGAGCCACCAGGTGGCACCCGTCCCTTCGTCCACCTGTGAGTCTGTCGCTGCCGTCACGGCGCGCTAACCGCTGCGCCACCGCTCCCCGCGCACGCACGCGCATGCACTCGCAACACGGACGCGCGAGCGTGCGGTAGACAGGCTGACGCCTGCAGTGGCTACGTCGTCCGGCTGTGCCCCACACGGATCCATCTCCTCCTGCACGGGTGGTTACACGCACGTCCACCACTCGGACTCGAACCGGGTCTCCCCAACTCAGCCTCTGAGTCTTCGCCGAACCAAGTTCCATTAATGCGCCTCCACCAGCGAGGGTTTTTTTTAACGGTGGCTACCACCACCACCACCACCAACAACAACAACCGCCATTCGCCACTAAGCGGCGGGGACGTCACCACGGCTCTCGCGCCAGGCTACGTGCACGTTGAGGCAAACGTGCGGTGTCGAACGCCCGCTGGCAGCGGGAGGTCACGGGGCAGACCCAGCAGGTGCCAGGGGTCGCCAGCAGCCCTCCTCCTCTCCGCACCAGCGCGCAATCACCACCACGACCACCGGCTCGTACGGGACGACAGAATGCCCAGGGGATCCAGCAGATCGACGTAGCCCTTCCGACCCTCCTCCTCCTCCTCCTGCTCGTGCGCCCTCCTCGTCAACGGCGCCACCTCGTCTGGCGAGCGAATGTCGGCACCGGCCTCCTCGAGCCACGGGAGTCCGGAGTCGGAGCCCTCGAGCGGCACAGAGTTCACCACCGGCAGGAAGTGAGACAGGGGCGGTAGCCCGCGGGCGAGCGGCCACTCGTGCTGCTGCTGCTGCTGCTGTGGATCCATCGGCAGCTCCTGGTTTGGCTGCTGCTGCTGGCGATGTTGTTGTTGTTGGTGGTGGCTGTGTCGTGGAGCGACGGCGCTGAGCGACACCACGGCATGGTGCGTGCCGCCCCGGTAGAGGTTGTAGCCGTCAGGCAGCAGCGACTCGCGGAACGTGCAGTCCACCTCGTCGAACGACACCTGGCGGGAGGGGGTGGGGGGGGGGAGACAAAGGTGGCCGGGGCTGTGAGCTCGCCGCACGTGAGAATCCGGTGCTGATCGTCGGAGGCTGCTGCGGGATTGCATCGCGGGATTCGAACCTCTAGCGCGGGGAGCTTTAGGGGTGTCGGCTGAGCGTCTCCCGACACGGCCGTTATGGACCCCCCGCCGCCCCCGTCCTTGACACAGGGCGGATAATTAACCATAATCCCACGGAATGGATACGAGAATGAAACGCGAATTTAAAAAAATAATAATTGAAATCCTGGTCGGCTCGTTTTTCCATTTCTTTTTTTTTGGGGGGGGGGGGGTGGGGGTTGGGTGGGGGGGTGTGTGAGAAATCGTAGCCGATATTTTTGAATTTCGAAATCGGGTCCCGTTCTGAAAAAAAAGAAACATCGACGCCTATGCGGAAAGCTCCATAATGAGGGCGCTGTCGTGACCCCTGGCAGGGGGGTGGAGAGCATTCGGCTCTTTGCGTGGAGCGCCGTGCGTTTCCCATTCGCCCCCCGTGAGTGACGGAGTCCGGCTGGGCGACTCAACTTTCACGGAAGACAGAAACAAACTTTCTCACGGCACAGAGCCGAGCGCAATAAAGATGAGACTTAAACAAAACAAGACCACGCACACGAATCCCCGCTACCGAGGAATTCCTCGCCGAGTCCCCCAGTCGATGGGTCTCTCGATACAAGTTCCTGAATGTCCAGAGACGCCTATCTATAGGTCTCTGTGCGGGTGTGTGTTGGGTCTCTATGCCAGTCTATAGGTCTCTGTGTGGGTGTGTGTTGGGTCTCTATGCCAGTCTATTGGTCTCTGTGTGGGTGTGTGTTGGGTCTCTATGCGAGTCTATAGGTCTCTGTGTGGGTGTGTGTTGGGTCTCTATGCCAGTATATAGGTCTCTGTGTGGGTGTGTGTTGGGTCTCTATGCGAGTCTATTGGTCTCTGTGTGGGTGTGTGTTGGGTCTCTATGCGAATCTATTGGTCTCTGTGTAGGTGTGTGTTGGGTCTCTATGTCAGTCTATTGGTCTCTGTGTGGGTGTGTGTTGGGTCTCTATGTGAGTATTGGTCTCTGTGTAGGTGTGTGTTGGATCTCTATGTGAGTCTATTGGTCTCTGTGTGGGTGTGTGTTGGGTCTCTATGCCAGTCTAATGGTCTCTGTGTAAGTGTGTGTTGGGTCTCTATGTGAGTCTATTGGTCTCTGTGTAGATGAGTGTTGGGTCTCTATGCCAGTCTATTGGTCTCTGTGTGGGTGTGTGTTGGGTCTCTATGTGAGTCTATTGGTCTCTGTGTAGGTGTGTGTTGGGTCTCTATGTCAGTCTGTTGGTCTCTGTGTAGGTGTGTGTTGGGTCTCTATGTCAGTCTATTGGTCTCTGTGTAGGTGTGTGTTGGGTCTCTATGCCAGTCTATTGGTCTCTGTGTAGGTGTGTGTTGGGTCTCTATGCCAGTCTATTGGTCTCTGTGTAGGTGTGTGTTGGGTCTCTATGTGAGTCTATTGGTCTCTGTGTGGGTGTGTTGGGTCTCTATGTGAGTCTATTGGTCTCTGTGTAGGTGTGTGTTGGGTCTCTATGTCAGTCTATTGGTCTCTGTGTAGGTGTGTGTTGGGTATCTATGCGAGTCTATTGGTCTCTGTGTGGGTGTGTGTTGGGTCTCTATGCCAGTCTATTGGTCTCTGTGTAGGTATGTGTTGGGTCTCTATGCCAGTCTATTGGTCTCTGTGTAGGTGTGTGTTGGGTCTCGATGTGAGTCTATTGGTCTCTGTGTAGGTGTGTGTTGGGTCTCGATGTGAGTCTATTGGTCTCTGTGTAGGTGTGTGTTGGGTCTCCATGCCAGTCTATTGGTCTCGGTGTAGGTGTGTGTTGGGTCTCTATGCCAGTCTATTGGTCTCTGTGTAGGTGTGTGTTGGTTATCTATGCCAGTCTATTGGTCTCTGTGTAGGTGTGTGTTGGGTCTCTATGTGAGTCTATTGGTCTCTGTGTGGGTGTGTGTTGGGTCTCTATGTGAGTCTATTGGTCTCTGTGTAGGTGTGTGTTGGGTCTCTATGCCAGTCTATTGGTCTCTGTGTGGGTGTGTGTTGGTTATCTATGCCAGTCTATTGGTCTCTGTGTAGGTGTGTGTTGGGTCTCTATGTGAGTCTATTGGTCTCTGTGTAGGTGTGTGTTGGGTCTCTATGCAAGTCTATTGGTCTCTGTGTAGGTGTGTGTTGGGTCTCTATGCGAGTCTATTAGTCTCTGTGTAGGTGTGTGTTGGGTCTCTATGCCATTCTATTGGTCTCTGTGTGGGTGTGTGTTGGGTCTCTATGTGAGTCTATTGGTCTCTGTGTGGGTGTGTGTTGGGTCTCTATGCCAGTCTATTGGTCTCTGTGTGGGTGTGTGTTGGGTCTCTATGTGAGTCTATTGGTCTCTGTGTAGGTGTGTGTTGGGTCTCTATGCGAGTCTATTGGTCTCTGTGTAGGTGTGTGTTGGGTCTCTATGCGAGTCTATTGGTCTCTGTGTAGGTGTGTGTTGGGTCTCTATGCCAGTCTATTGGTCTCTGTGTGGGTGTGTTGGGTCTCTATGTGAGTCTATTGGTCTCTGTGTAGGTGTTTGTTGGGTCTCTATGCCAGTCTATTGGTCTCTGTGTAGGTGTGTGTTGGGTCTCTATGTGAGTCTATTGGTCTCTGTGTAGGTGTGTGTTGGGTCTCTATGTGAGTCTATTGGTCTCTGTGTGGGTGTGTGTTGGGTCTCCATGCCAGTCTATTGGTCTCTGTGTAGGTGTGTGTTGGGTCTCTATGTGAGTCTATTGGTCTCTGTGTAGGTGTGGGTTGGGTCTCTATGCGAGTCTATTGCTCTTGTGTGGGTGTGTGTTGGGTCTCTATGTGAGTCTATTGGTCTCTGTGTGGGTGTGTGTTGGGTCTCCATGCCAGTCTATTGGTCTCTGTGTAGGTGTGTGTTGGGTCTTTATGCGAGTCTATTGGTCTCTGTGTAGGTGTGTGTTGGGTCTCTATGTCAGTCTATTGGTCTCTGTGTGGTGTGTGTTGGGTCTCTATGCCAGTCTATTGGTCTCTGTGTAGGTGTGTGTTGGGTCTCTATGTGAGTCTATTGGTCTCTGTGTGGGTGTGTGTTGGGTCTCTATGCCAGTCTATTGGTCTCTGTGTGGGTGTGTGTTGGGTCTCTATGCCAGTCTATTGGTCTCTGTGTGGGTGTGTGTTGGGTCTCTATGCCAGGCTATTGGTCTCTGTGTGGGTGTGTGTTGGGTCTCTATGTGAGTCTAGTTGGTCTCTGTGTAGGTGTGTGTTGGGTCTCTATGCCAGTCTATTTGTCTCTGTGTAGGTGTGTGTTGGGTCTCTATGTGAGTCTATTGGTCTCTGTGTAGGTGTGTGTTGGGTCTCTATGTGAGTCTATTGGTCTCTGTGTAAGTGTGTGTTGGGTCTCTATGCCAGTCTATTGGTCTCTGTGTAGGTGTGTGTTGGGTCTCTATGTGAGTCTATTGGTCTCTGTGTGGGGTGTGTTGGGTCTCTATGTCAGTCTATTGGTCTCTGTGTGGGTGTGTGTTGGGTCTCTATGTGAGTCTATTGGTCTCTGTGTAGGTGTGTGTTGGGTCTCTATGTGAGTCTATTGGTCTCTGTGTAGGTGTGTGTTGGGTCTCTATGCCAGTCTATTGGTCTCTGTGTAGGTGTGTGTTGGGTCTCTATGCCAGTCTATTAGTCTCTGTGTAGGTGTGTGTTGGGTCTCTATGTGAGTCTATTAGTCTCTGTGTAGGTGTGTCTTGGGTCTCTATGCCAGTTTATTGGTCTCTGTGTGGATGTGTGTTGGGTCTCTATGCCAGTCTCTAGGTCTCTGTGTGGGTGTGTGTTGGGTCTCTATGCGAGTCTATTGGTCTCTGTGTAGGTGTGTGTTGGGTCTCTATGCGAGTCTATTGGTCTCTGTGTGGGTGTGCGTTGGGTCTCTATGTGAGTATTGGTCTCTGTGTAGGTGTGCGTTGGGTCTCTATGCCAGTCTATTGGTCTCTGTGTAGGTGTGTGTTGGGTCTCTATGTGAGTCTATTGATCTCTGTGTAGGTGTGGGTTGGGTCTCTATGCGAGTCTATTGGTCTTGTGTGGGTGTGTGTTGGGTCTCTATGTGAGTCTATTGGTCTCTGTGTGGGTGTGTGTTGGGTCTCCATTACAGTCTATTGGTCTCTGTGTAGGTGTGTGTTGGGTCTTTATGCGAGTCTATTGGTCTCTGTGTAGGTGTGTGTTGGGTCTCTATGTCAGTCTATTGGTCTCTGTGTGGGTGTGTGTTGGGTCTCTATGCCAGTCTATTGGTCTCTGTGTAGGTGTGTGTTGGGTCTCTATTTGAGTCTATTGGTCTCTGTGTGGGTGTGTGTTGGGTCTCTATGCCAGTCTATTGGTCTCTGTGTGGGTGTGTGTTGGGTCTCTATGCCAGTCTATTGGTCTCTGTGTAGGTGTGTGTTGGGTCTCTATGCCAGGCTATTGGTCTCTGTGTGGGTGTGTGTTGGGTCTCTATGTGAGTCTATTGGTCTCTGTGTAGGTGTGTGTTGGGTCTCTATGCCAGTCTATTTGTCTCTGTGTAGGTGTGTGTTGGGTCTCTATGTGAGTCTATTGGTCTCTGTGTAGGTGTGTGTTGGGTCTCTATGTGAGTCTATTGGTCTCTGTGTAAGTGTGTGTTGGGTCTCTATGCCAGTCTATTGGTCTCTGTGTAGGTGTGTGTTGGGTCTCTATGTGAGTCTATTGGTCTCTGTGTGGGTGTGTGTTGGGTCTCTATGTCAGTCTATTGGTCTCTGTGTGGGTGTGTGTTGGGTCTCTATGTGAGTCTATTGGTCTCTGTGTAGGTGTGTGTTGGGTCTCTATGTGAGTCTATTGGTCTCTGTGTAGGTGTGTGTTGGGTCTCTATGCCAGTCTATTGGTCTCTGTGTAGGTGTGTGTTGGGTCTCTATGCCAGTCTATTAGTCTCTGTGTAGGTGTGTGTTGGGTCTCTATGTGAGTCTATTAGTCTCTGTGTAGGTGTGTCTTGGGTCTCTATGCCAGTTTATTGGTCTCTGTGTGGGTGTGTGTTGGGTCTCTATGCCAGTCTCTAGGTCTCTGTGTGGGTGTGTGTTGGGTCTCTATGCGAGTCTATTGGTCTCTGTGTAGGTGTGTGTTGGGTCTCTATGCGAGTCTATTGGTCTCTGTGTGGGTGTGCGTTGGGTCTCTATGTGAGTATTGGTCTCTGTGTAGGTGTGCGTTGGGTCTCTATGCCAGTCTATTGGTCTCTGTGTAGGTGTGTGTTGGGTCTCTATTCCAGTCTATTGGTCTCTGTGTAGGTGTGTGTTGGGTCTCTATGCGAATCTATTGGTCTATGTGTGGGTGTGTGTTGGGTCTCTATGTGAGTCTATTGGTCTCTGTGTGGGTGTGTGTTGGGTCTCTATGTCAGTCTATTGGTCTCTGCGTGGGTGTGTGTTGGGTCTCTATGCCAGTCTATTGGTCTCTGTGTAGGTGTGTGTTGGGTCTCTATGCGAGTCTATTGGTCTCTGTGTAGGTGTGTGTTGGGTCTCTATGCCAGTCTATTGGTCTCTGTGTAGGTGTGTGTTGGGCCTCTATGTGAGTCTATTGGTCTCTGTGTAGGTGTGTGTTGGGCCTCTATGTGAGTCTATTGGTCTCTGTGTAGGTGTGTGTTGGGTCTCTATGCCAGTCTATTGGTCTCTGTGTAGGTGTGTGTTGGGTCTCCATTACAGTCTATTGGTCTCTGTGTAGGTGTGTGTTGGGTCTTTATGCGAGTCTATTGGTCTCTGTGTAGGTGTGTGTTGGGTCTCTATGTCAGTCTATTGGTCTCTGTGTGGGTGTGTGTTGGGTCTCTATGCCAGTCTATTGGTCTCTGTGTAGGTGTGTGTTGGGTCTCCATGCCAGTCTATTGGTCTCTGTGTATGTGTGTGTTGGGTCTCCATGCCAGTCTATTGGTCTCTGTGTATGTGTGTGTTGGGTGCGCGAGTGCGTGGGCGAGTGTGCGTCTCTGTGCGCGTACAGAGCCTCGGGCGCCGACTGTGGCAGGGCATCTGCACAGGTCGAGACGAAGGCTTCATGCGTCGCGCGTCGAGTCTCCGGGGCTAACACCCACGGCTACTGGAACGGTCCGGTTCCCGGAGCGGACACTCGCCGCTTCAAACACTCCCATCCGCGAAACTTTCGCGACAATTGCGCCACCACGGACCGGCGGGCCCGTGGCTTGTTGCGAGTCTCGCCCGCTCACCTGCCCGTAGAGCCTGCCCTTCGGGTCCATGCAGAGGTAGCGGCGAGACTTGAGCCCCCTCATGACCACCACACCACGAGACACCGCCTTGATCTCCAGCAGACCTGGCGAAAGGCGACGGCAGGCGGCGTTTAGGGAAGGCCCCCGTCCCGTGGAAGAGCGACACCGCAGAGACAAAGATGCCCAGTGTGGCCTTGTGGGGCAAAGTGCCGTTAGCGAGCACTTGTTACGATAGCTATTCAACTAAGTATATGATTTTTTTTTTTTTTTACCAGGTAAGGTCCACTGAGCCATGTTTCAGAAGCGACCTGGTCACCACAAATGATAGCTCAGCGTAGTGGCCTATCGCGTGGAAATTCATAGCAGTCAAATACTCTAAACGCGCGCTTCTGGAGGAAAAACCCGGAGGACCCGGAGAAAAATCCACGTGACCGCAGGGAGAAGATGCAAACTCCACACACACACAGGCGCCAGGGTCTACGCAACAACTTCCATACGCCACAAAGTGGCGGTTACGTCACCACGGCGCCTGGGACAGGCTCGGCGTACCCCGAGGTCACTGGAAGTGTTAAAGACTCGCTGCTGGCAGGAAGTCACGGAACAGACCCGGGTAACCAAGGGTTGACTGACTGAGATGCATGCACCACCTGCGTTCCTACCGTGCCAACAGTGGGTACAGTCGGCCAATACCACTCACACGTGCAGACTCACAACACTCTCACAATGTCATACACAGTTCGTTTGTAACGCATACACGCACACACACACTCACACAGAGAGACTAACAGATACTCACCCCCACACACAACACAGACAAAGATCGCCACCCCCCCCCCCCCACCCCCGTATATCCCTTAACAAATTGTTGGGGCAAGACGTGTTAGCGAGCTCCTGTTAAGGCCGCAGCTGGAGACCTCGAGCTAGACGAGACGGGGCTCTCTCTTGCATCGCAACGATTTGTGCTGCTCCGAACGTCCCAAATGATGGGGCCACTTTGGTGAGCTGTCATTGGTGGTGGCCGGGTCGTTGCTGAAAAATAAGCTGATACCTTTCGTGGGCTCTGCCCTGGTCGGATGATGGGGAATGGTGGCGTTGTGTTTGTCGGTGTTTGTATGTGTTTGGATTCTTTTGTTTGCCTTTGCTGAACTTTTACACCACGATCGTGTTTTGTTTTGTTTGTCGTTGTAACTTTCTTATCCCGTGCTCCCTACTGGAATAAAAGAGCTTTATAGCTCATCGGATTCCTCCAGTATAAAATAAATATTCTGATTCTGAGTGGTAACGGGGGCCGCGGGTTTAGAAAGCCAGCCACCGGCTGTCCGGCCGAATTTAACTGGGTTCTGATTTTAGAACGACTGTCACATTTTTTAAAATTTTCTTGGAATTTACACCGCCGAGGTCCGTGCCACGGACTGTCACGGCAAGAGATCGCAGCATTCCATCGCCGCCCGCCACGCGTTTATTGCGTTGGCTGCACGTTATTCACCATTATTATATAACGCGACGGGCATGTGCTCGCGATTAGGGACTTGGTTATATTGAAGTAGGGTCAGGCCGATTTCGAAAACGTTTTTTTGGTTTGGACATGTTTGTTTTGTTGTAGTACGGAGTTAGACTGACGGCCTTAATCTAAGTTTTCTTGTGGTTGTTGTTGTCCGACTTGCATCCCACTGGGATTTGTTTGCACACAGCCTCGGTGTACGGTGCTTTTTTCAGGAATATTTTTCTGGTTTTTTTTTCATGGATTTTCTGTTTGCACAGTCAGACAGAGTCACTTGAAGATGTTTTTCTTGTTCGTGTTTTTGTTTTTTGTTTGTTGTGGATGCACCCGATTCAAGAGCCGAATGGCTCACAGGGCTATACCAAAATAAATAAACTGAAACTGAAAACAGAAAGGACGGTACCAACCCAACATAGCAACGTTCAAACGAGTACTTTTTTTTTAGCAGCGAGGATTTGTGTTTCTTTTTTTTTGGCAGCCCCGCGATTGGCCGGGTTCCTCACCACCTAAAACCCCCACCCCTGCCCGCCCCCCGCCCCCCCCCCCCGGGCAGTGGAAAAAAAACACCAACAACCAAACGTGGAACAAAACGTTGAAAAGTGTGCAAAGAAGCGCAGGAAGAGCAGGGAGAGAGAGAGAGACCCACGACACTGGGAGACAGCGAGAGGAGACGTGCGGATTTGGAGAAATAACGCCGGTTAATGGGGGGGGGGGGGGTCTTCCATAACCGTTAAGGGAGGCCACGTGTGGGCCCGGGCAGAACGCGTCACGGCCAGAAGGGAAGGCGACGACGATGATGATGGCGGGTGGTCGAGATTCACGAATGGAGTGACAGCCAGGGAATGTAATTGAACGCGTCCCAGAGCACGTCCACCGGTAGGAGATGGAGCCGATGATGATGACATCGGCTGCTCGTGTATCGCCAGCAGCCGATGGGTGTATCGCTACATCCCCAGGATCGTGAGAGGCCTCGGCGGCTTGGTGGAGATGAAGGCCTTCAACCAGCAGTGGATTGACCACGGCTGCTGCTGAAGAAGATGATGACGATGGCGCACTTTGAATCCTCGCAGCGCTCCATCTCTCTCTCTCTCTCTGCCCTCGTGCCCGTGCGTGTCATCCGCTCACCCACTCAGCCCACCACCCGTCTCCTCCCGTCGCGTGCCACTGACCGCCCTACTCGTGCGCCGCACTCGCGAGAGGGCCACACGGCACTCCGTCCTCGTCGCTGTCGTTGTTGTTGTTGTTGGCAGTCAGCACTAGGCCAGGGGCTGGCGCGCATTGGGAGTCAGGGCGCTGCTGCCGCCGCTGCTTCTGCCGTGTTTGTGCCGTGATCCTTTTCCCGTCGGGGTCAGATCGTTGGCACGGGGAGCAGGCGACGATTGGAGCGGGGTTGTTTAGGAGGCCCCCCCCCCCCAACTAATCAAACATTAAGGGACGAGGCGGGGGGGGGGGTCCGAGCGTCACTCACGTAAGTGGGAGACTCTTTTGAATGTTGTTAAACATCCTTAGGGTCCGCGTCACGCCACGGGAGTGAGGGCTGACGGACACCGTGGGCTGATCTTGGTGCCGAGAAGTTGGTTGTAGCGTCGGCCGTCTCGTGCACTCCCCCCCCCCGCCCCCCCCCCCCCGGAGTCTTTTGTGTGCCCCGCCCCCATGGAGCAAGGTTTAAGCTGCAGGGACGCACAAAGTGACTGAAGGTGATGGTCCAGGTATCCGGGGTCTACTTTGTTTAACCAGGCGAGAACTCGAGATCTCACGCTAGGGGTGTCACCCACAAAGGTGAACCGGGTCGCCGACATGGCCATGAGCAATCGCGTAAAAAAAAGGCGACGCTCTATCGACGAAGCGAACGGAAGTCCGTACCAAATACAACAAACCGTACGGTGGTAGAATGAAGATGACACGTTGACACGTGAAATTAAATTAAATTCCTCGAGCAAAATTTGTTTCGCTCGGGCAAATTACTTTTTGAAAACCATTCGCCGTCCAATTTTTTTTTTCACTTTGCAGAAACGTACACAACGGAGGCTCCGGCGATCAGTTGCACCCCGAGTGTCAACAGACACGGTTATCTGTCGAAGGCCCGCTAGCAGGAGGTCACGGGGCAGACCCAGGTGCCACGGGTCGACTGATTGAGACGACTGGCTGATGCACCACCCGTGCCCCCTACTGTGCCAACTTGCTGTGCTTTAGTCACCCGGCGCTCCGCTCGTTGTTGTGAGCGTCGCTCCTGCGCCCTCCGTTGTTGTTGGAGGGCGACTGCCTCCAACTGCCCAGTAGCGTCCTTCACGAGCCTCCTCCACAGAGGCCGATCTTGACACCGCTGGTACCAGTCATCGGCAAGTCCACTCAGCTCCACATTCTCCTATACCACATCACTCCATCTCTTCTCCAGCCCGTGCCGCGCCCGTTTAGCCCCCACTATCCGGCCGAACAAAAGCTGTTTAGGCATGCGGTGGCTGGGCATGCGGGCTACATGACCCAGCCAACGCAGCCTTGCCTGCCAGAGGAGCTGACCGATGGGACTTTGCCCAGATCTGTCAAGGGTTTGTGAGCTCCTCACACAATCCATCCTGGTTAAACCAGGATGGATCGTAGGCATGTCAGCCTAAATGTTTTTAATTCAACACATACACACACTCACCCATGTACACACATAATCATATACACAATACACATTTGCCAAACACACACATACATAGTGCATACACACAAGGACAATTGCACACACGCAGCTACATCTAGAGTACATACACACTGATCAACACACCACACACATGCGTTGAACTTTTTCCGCACCGTACGTAGCCAACCGTGCTAATCGGACGTGCGGGGGAAGGACAACGAGGTAGACACAAACAGGAGTTGTTAAGATATGAGTTTTCAATTGATAAAACTACACACACGACACATGCAACACAAACCACACCCACTATGTGCACACTCACCACACAAACTCACCACACACACACTCACCACACACACTCACACCACACACACACTCAACATATACAGACACACACACTCACCATACACACACTCACACCACACACACACACTACACACTCACCATACACACACACCACACACACACTCACACCACACACACCATACACAGACACACTACACACTCACCACACATACATACTCACCACATATTACACACTCACCATACACACTCACCATACAAACACACACTCACCACACACACTACACACTCACCACACATACATACTCACCACATATTACACACTCACCACACACACTCACCATACAAACACACACTCACCACACACACTACACATTCACCACACTCACCACCAACAACAACCGCCATTCGCCACTAAGTGGCGGTGCCGTTACCACGACGCTTGTGCCAGGCTAGGTGCACGTTGAGGCCACGTGAAGTGTCGAACTCCCGCTGGCAGGAGGTCACGGGGCAGACCCAGCAGGTGCCACGGGTCGACTGACTGAGACGACCGAGATGAGTGGCTGATGCACCACCTGTACCCCCTATTTTGCCAACGTGCTGTGCTTTAACCACCCGGCGCTCCGCTCGTTGTTATGAGCGTCGCCATACATACACACACGCACAAAGACAAAGACCCCCCGTATAGCCTGTACCAGGCTGTAGGGGCAAGTTCCGTTAGCGAGCACCTATGAAGGCCGGCACGGCACACGAGGGGGTAGGTGGCCAGCACCACACACCCACACATACAACACTCTCACCACACACACCAACACACACTCTCACACACACTACACTCTCACCACACACACAACAACAACCGCCATTCACCACGACGCTTGTGCCAGGCCATGTGCACCTTGAGGCCACGTGAAGTTTCGAACGCCCGCGGGCAGGAGGTCACGGGGCAGACCCAGGTGCCACGGGCCGACTGACTGAGATGACTGGCTGATGCACCACCTGTGCCCCCTACTGTGCCAACCTGCTGTGCTTTAGCCACCCGGCGCTCCGCTCGTTGTTGTGAGCGTCGCTCCTCCGCCCTCCGTTGTTGTTGGAGGGCGACTGCTTCCAACTGCCCAGTAGCAGCGTCCTTCACGAGCCTCCTCCACAGAGGCCGATCTTGACACCGCTGGTACCAGTCATCGGCAAGTCCACTCAGCTCCACGTCCTCCTGTACCACATCACTCCATCTCTTCTCTAGCCCGTGCCGCGCCCGTTTACCCCCCTCGATCCGGCCGAACAAAAGTTGTTTCGGCATGCGGTGGCTGGGCATGCGGGCTACATGACCCAGCCATCGCAGCCTTGCCTGCCGGAGGAGCTCACCGATGGGACCTTGCCCACACCAACACACACACACCCCACACACCCCACACACAAACACACACCACACACACCAACACACACCAACACTCACACACACTACACTCTCACCACACAAACCAACACACACACCCCCCCACTCACTCACCCACCCACCCACGCGTAGCGCACCCCGCCACTCACTGTGTTCGCTCTGCCTCTCCACGCCGTCCACGCGGCCGTCGTCCCGCAAGCGCAGATGCGCCGCCCAGGCCGGGTGGCTCCGGCTGGCCGTGTACAGGTGCCTCAGTCGCACCTGCCCCCCCCAGCCGTTGTCCAGGTGAGGGCTGGAGTCACGTGCGGGCCGGGGCGGCGGGCGTGGTGCGGCCCGAGCGACGCGCGGTGTCGCCACCGAGGCGAGTAGGTAACAAGCCAGGAGGGCTCCACTCGCTCCCATTGCGTTGTCGTCTTGCGGCGCAGGTGTGTGTCGTGTGTGTCGTGTGTGTGTCGTGTGTGTGTGTGGGGCGCGCACGTGTGTGTGTGTGTGGGTCGCGCGCACGTGTGTGTGTGTGTGTGTGGGGCGCGCACGTGTGTGTGTGTGTGGGGCGCGCACGTGTGTGTGTGTGTGGGTCGCGCGCACGTGTGTGTGTGTGTGGGGCGCGCACGTGTGTGTGTGTGTGGGGCGCGCACGTGTGTGTGTGTGGGTCGCGCGCACGTGTGTGTGTGTGTGTGGGGCGCGCACGTGTGTGTGCGTGTCGTGTGTGTGTGGGTCGCGCGCACAAGTGTGAGTCGCATAGGATGCGTGCGACAGACGCTTTTAGGGTCGTGTGTGCGATGGTGATGATGATCTTAATAGGTGCTCGCTAACCATAATTATAATAGAGACGAGTCTGAATGAACCTTGTTAAATGCTTGTCACCTAATTTTATCACGCAGATGCAATGGCAGATATGCAGGCTATTAATACAAATAATCTCGTGCAGTATACAATGTGCAGCAGAGCTAGACAATGTATAATATGTATTTTTGAATGTTTACACGGAGATGTGTTCTATATGCGCCATCTATTTATGTACCTTATGCTGGGATTCCAATGCAGGCACAGAGTGGCACTGGCATTGTACTCTGTGGCGTGGCGAGTGGGTGAGTGAGCGGAGTGTATGGATGGCTGAGCGGGAGAAGTGAAAGGCTGTCTGTCTGACGGTGTTTGGGAGATGCAGGGTTTTAAATCGGCCGGCCCACTGGGCGGGGTCGAGATAATGATGATGGTGGTGGCGGTGATGCTGAGTGTGTGTGAGTGTGTGTGAACGTGTATTTATGTGTGAGTGTGTGTGGGTGTAAGTGTGAACGTGTGTTTATGTGTGAGTGTGTGTGCAAGTGGGTGTAAGTGTGAACGTGTGTTTATGTGTGAGTGTGTGTGTGCAAATGCGTGGGGAGCGGTAGTGTAGCGGATAGCGCGCTGCGCTATGAACCTGGCGACCCGGGTTCGATTCCCGCTCACGGCCAACACCAGTGACGATTATCTGAACCGGTCCTGGGCCTCCCGTAGGTCGACTCAGCCTCAAATGAGTACCTGGTGCGATGTGTAAACATCGCCACTGGGGAGACAAAGGCGGCCGGGCGTGGTGCTGGCCACCCACCCGCTCGTGTGCCGTGACGGCCTTCATAGGTGCTCGCTAACAGCACTTTCCCCAACAGCCTGTTAAAGCTATACGGGGGATCTTTGTCTTTGTTTTGTCTGTCTATGGGTTGATGTGTGGGTGTGTGGGGGAGCGGTTGTGTCGTGGAATGCGCTACGAAGCCGGCGAACCGAATTCGATTCTCGCTCACGGTCAACATCGTTGACGAATGTCTGAACCGGTACCGGGCCTCCCCTAAGTCGATTCAGCCTTAAACGAGTACACGGTGCGGTGTGTTAGTAAACATCGCCGCTAGGGAGACAAAGGTGGCCGGGCGTGGTGCTGGCCCCCCACCCCCCCCCCCTCGTGTTTCCATGTTGCCCCTTTATCGGTGGAACTCGCTAACAGCACTTTCCCCCCACAGTTTGTGAAGGCTACACGGGAGTTCTTTATGTGCGTGTGTGTGTGTGCATATGACGGCAGTGTGAGTGTGTACCGATATTGTGTAAGGCAGGAGTGGGGTCACCCACAGCGGCACTCCCTCGTGCACCGCATCCAACGGCTAGACTCATAAATCCAAGGTTCGATTTTTGGTGAGACAAAACAGGATCGATGACATCGCCATCGCTTCCTGGCTGCTGCTAGATCAATGCAAATCATCGGGTGGGTGCAAGGGTTGGAGGCTCACACACACACACAAACCCACACAGATTTGTGAAACTCTCAAAAAACCCGCGCGGATGCCAGACAGTAAAGTGAATGTTTTATTGCATCCATCTGTGCGGAGATGTGGGGGGGGGGGGGGGGGGTTCCTCCGGGTTCTTTTGGTTTCCTGCCAACACACGAAGTCAAATGTCCACATCTCACGGCATTTCGTGGCCAAAACATCCCACAACGTGGCAGGGACCCTCTTGGAAACGAGTCTCGAGTCTCTGGGAGGCTTTCCTGGATTAAGGAAGTGCATTATTAGTACTACTTTAGTACTATTGTAACCCTTGACCTATGCGGACGATTGGCAGGTAGCGTGTGGTAGGGTGCAGTGTGGGTACTACCACATCTTCCGAGACGTGCTGACCAGCGTGGAAGAGTAGGCCAAACACCCCCCCCCCGAGCTCCTTCGAGTGGGAGGCCACGTCCGTCCACCAGTGACGTGCGCGAGCAGTTGCAGGTCCTGCGCCTTTGCCTGTACACAGCAGTGGGAGCGGTGGCGCAGTGGTTATCACGCCGCGCTATAAACCCGGTGACCTCAGTTCGGCTCCCGGTATACGGCTAACGTCGGCAGCGAGTGATCTATGACTCCACCACCGGTGCTGGGGGCGCTCCGGTTTCTGGACGCACTGACCAGCGTGGTGAAGTATGGCCACACCACCTCGATGGCCGGCACGACACGGAGAGAGGGCCTTCCTTCCGAGAGTGGGTTGACGAACGTCCGCAAGCGATCACAACGAAAAACAATGTCGTGCCCGGTGTCAATTAAAAGTTACGCAGATCTCACACGCACACACACACAGCACTGACGGGAGGAGAGCACGAACCTCCCCCCACCCCCACCCCCCCCACCTCCGACTTTTGCTTCAAAAATGCAAGGAGAAAAGCGCGTCTTATAATCCGAAGAAGACGGCCCTAATTGCTCAGCTCTTGAGTTGTTTTAAATATCCACAAGGCTTAGCGGCCTCTCGTGGCCGACGGAGTCGCGTGATGCCATCACACACAACCACGTGCGCGTGTTGAAACGAGGTAGCAATTGCCCTGTATCTCACAAACGCCGACGGAGAGAACGCGGCAGCCATCCATCCACTCGGCCATCCACTCGCTCGACAGTGTGATTTAAGTATTGGCCATGCGTAGTCACCCGTGGACTTACGTAGAGACCTATAGACTCATATAGAGTCCCGGAGACTTGCATAGAGACCTCTGTATCGACGTAGTCGCCCGTGGACTTACATAGAGGCCCGCAGATTTGCAGAGACACCAATAGACGCGAGACTGTCGCATCGGAGGACTGCAATGGATGGTGCCCTCCTTGGGGCAGGCACTCATCCAGCGGTGGATCGATCACGGCTGATGATGACAACGACGAATTCAATAGGTGGGTGTCTCTTTTCAGTGGTGCCACAAAATGGCCCCATAATTGAAAGCATCGAGGTTGATGGTGGTGGAGGGGGGGGGGGGGGGGTGTCGGACTGAGTGGCCAAGTTGCAGGAGCAGCAGTAGCAGCGGTGGTTGTGGGGAGTGGTGGGTGGGTGGGGTGGGAGTGATTCCTGGCTCGGGACAGGCGATGGGGACATTACACCACGGGGGAGTGTAAAGACCGCGGCCAACTAGAGGGACATCGATATCACGCGGAGATATTCCTCCTCTGCGCGGGCCCTTGAAGTTGCGACGTAGTTGGTTCATGATCGTGAATCATCACCCCAGTGTGCTGTCACTGAGCGTGCGAGGATCGGTGCCCACCAATGTCCCTCACTGGCCTCACAGCGTTGTAATGATCGACACGATACGATGATGATGATGATGACGACGACCATCGTTATCTTCATCACCATCATCATCAATTTCGTAAATGTACAAAAGCGTAGATCTCTGTTCTCGCCAGGGACCCCAACCGAATTCTATCCTGCTTCCCAGCATTCGGACATTGAACGGCCGATGTGCCCACGTCTGATGATGATGGTGGCGGTGGGGAGCGGTAGCGCAGTGTAGCGGTCAGCGCACTGCGTCACGGACCTGGCAACCCGAGTTCGATTCCTACTCACGGCCAAGACCAGTGACGATTTTCTGAACCGGTCCTGGGCCTCCTCTAGGTTGACTCAGCCTCAAATGAGTGACCTGGTGCGATGTGTAAACATCGCCACTTGGGAAGACAAAGGCGGTTGGGCGTGGTGCTGGCCACCCACCCCCTCGTGTACCGTGCCGGCCTTCATAGGTGCTCGCTAGCAGCACTTGCCCCAACAGTCTGTCACAGGCTATGCGGGGGATCTTTGTCTTTGGTGGTGATATGCAAACTTGATGCGTGCCTGGGATTACACCGATAGCCGGAAGTGGGACATGTCGATTAGAGAACACGCGCTCGTTTTTTTAAACTAACAGTCCGAGTGTTGTCGATACACTCAGAACATCTCCAGGGTACTCGTTTATCAAAGTGGCGGCCCTGAGCCAACAGTGGAAATTCCACATTACGATGACCCCACCCCACCCCTGCCACCCAATGATAGATCTTGAGTTTCCACAGAATCATGCTGAGTCTCTTCTCGCTGTGAGTCACTGCCAAAGTGCTGGGGAGCCGCGTCTGCTCATTTGTGGATAGAGGCGTCTCTAGAAACTACCCCCCACTAGTAGCGGGGGGGGATGATTGACCCCCCCCCCACTAGTAGCAGGGAGGGGGGATGATTGACCCCCCCCCCACTAGTAGCGGGGGGGGATGATTGACCCCCCCACTAGTAGCGGGGGGGGGATGATCGACCCACCCCCCCCCCCCCACTTAACCCGGATCTGCCACCGACCGTGAAATGCGTGTCTCAGATTTTTCTGAATATTCTCGAAGTTTTTGTGTTTTTCCCCCCCTCCAGATTTTCTGTCTTCTACTCAACACGGTCCTCGTTTTAGCGAAGCGCCTCCCCACCCACCCACCCACTCCCCCGCATGGATAATGATGGTGACGATTGGCTGGCACATGATACAAAATTCGTACATAGGGTGGCAATACACATTTTCTTGGCTAAATTTAGACCGGGTCACAAATTGTTGATATCAATATTTTTTGTTCCATTTGCGTGAGTGCCAGAGCTTACGGAATAAACACGATAGACGATACAGCGACTGCCTTGCGCCAGGGTCTGTAGTTGATTGCCCAGCAAATCTGAAATTATTACATTGCTCGTTTGTGCGTGCGTGTGTGTGTGTACGTGTGTGTGCGTGCGTGT